TGATTACAATTAATCTCTACTTGTCATTTTTTTTACTCTCTATAAGATTCGAACTTATAATAACCTACCTAATATATTCTAATAAAAAAATATACATTATATAAAATATAAAAGATATAAGAGTCTATATATATATATATTATATATATATATTATTATAATTTATAATTATAATTTATAGATTAAAGAATCTGTATTTGGTTTATTATGTTTGTTAATTTTTAATGCATTAGTATTAATTTCATATACGAAACCTATAATTAATATTAATAAGAATAATAAAACTATAGTGAATCCATAATTAGATACTAAATAAATTGACATTACATAAGGTAATAATGTTGATATTTCTAAATCAAAAGGTAGGAATAATATTGCTACTAAAATGAAAGCTGCATTGAATGCTAATCTAGTTTGGTTGAAACTTGTTAAACCACACTCAAATGCTCCTAATTTTTCATTATATGGTTTATATACTGCTAATAATATATTTACGGCTAATAAAGCAAAACCTACAATAGGAATTAAAATAATAAAGATGATAAATGTATTCATTTTTTTTTTATTTATTTAATTAAAATAGACATTAAATATATCTATAATTAATGAATTATATATAAATCCAAATGTTATTAAAATAATTAATGAACTTAAAGTATAACTTAAAACTGATGATACTGTTTCATTTGAATTTATTAATATATTATTTTTATCTTGTATACTTACATTTAATAAGTATAGATAATATAATGCAGATATTAAACTAGCAACTATTAATACTATTGATATAAAGTAATATCCATTATTTAAAATTGACATTAATATATTTAATTTACCAAAGAATCCTAATAATGGTGGTATTCCTATAAATGAGAATACTACAATAGCCATTGATAATACTAAATAAGCATTATCATGTATTAAACCTTTTAATTGATTTACATAAATAATAGGATTATATTGATTATTAATATAATTAATATAATATATACTAAAGATGATTATCATAAAGATAGCTAAATGAGATATACTATATTGTGTCATATAATATAGATATGAGAATTCATTATTATTTAATAATAATAATAACATCATATAACCCGCATTAGTTAAACCACTAAATGCTAATAATCTTTTAATTTTTATTTGTAGTAAACCTCCAATAGAACCAACTAATAAAGTTAAGATAGCTAATATAGAGATAACTAATGAATTTATTGATATATTTGATAATATTAAGTATGATAATATACTTATTTTAGGTATTAAACTAATATATACTGTAATTAATATAGGTGTGTTTTCATAAATAGAAATTAATCATTTATGTAAAGGTGCTATACCTATTTTGAATAATAGACCTAAAGATAAAGCTATTAAAATTAAATTTAAATCTAATGTATTAATTATAAGACTATCTAATGAATGTAAAGTATAAGAATTTAATACGCTATAGAATGTATTAATAGAATAAGCTATTAATATTGATAATATACCTCCCATAAAGAAATATAACATTGAAGCTTTAGAAGCTTTATATGAGCTATTATATATAGCTGTAATTAAATAAATAGAATAACTTTGTAATTCGATAGCTACAAATAATGTAATAAAATCATTAGAATGTACAATTAATAAAGCACCTAATATATTTATTAAAAATAATATTATTAATTCTTTTTTAGGCTCAAATAATGTTTTATATAAGTTATTATTATATAAATTATAACCATATAAACTTGATATTACTATCATTATAAAATATATTAACATATCTATATAGAAAGTAAATGAATTAAATATTAATAATTCACCCATAACAGTATAAGTTTGATTATTTAAGAATAAAAGATATAAGAAACTATCTAACACTAATACTAAAATTAGATAGATATTAATTAATCTGATAATAGCTCTATTGTCAGACAACTTAGACATAGACACGAAAGTGATAAGACTAATTATTGCTAAAATTAACATTTTTTATGATTAATTAATTTATTTATTATCTATTTTCTTAAACTTCCTATATAGAAGAATATATTTTCTAATGTTGATACTAATGGTAATAATATTAAGAAATATGAGAAATAGAATATTGTACATATTTGACCTAATACTATAAATGGTGGCTCAATATGAACTTGTCCTAAAACACCTAATAATAAGAAGTTACATATGAAGAAACCAAATAATAATTTAGAAATTGGTTTAAATGCATTACCTCTAATTATAGATCTATCTACTATAGGTAATATTAATAAGATTAATATTGCTGCTACCATTGCTATAACTCCTCCTAATTTATCAGGTATAGCTCTTAATATAGCATAGAATGGTAATAAGTATCACTCAGGAACGATAGATGCTGGTGTTACCATTGGATTTGCTGGGATATAATTATCAGGGTGACCTAATTTATCTGGTGAGAAGAATACAAATAAACTAAACATTAATAAGAACACAAATATTGTGATTAAATCTTTGAATGAGTAGTATGGATGCATTGATAATTTATCAACATTAGATGTAATACCTAATGGGTTTGATGAACCTGCTGTGTGTAATGCAATTAAATGTAATAATGCGAATACAGCTAATACGAATGGCATTAGGTAATGTAATGCGAAGAATCTTTGTAATGTAGGGTTACCTACAGAGAAACCTCCTCATAAGAAGTGTACAATATCCTCACCTAATCAAGGTATAGCTGAAACTAAGTTACAAATAACTGTAGCCAAATTTAACTTAATTCATATATATATGAATTATTAAGATATATCTTAAAATAATATATAGAATAAATAAATATTCAAATAAAAAATATAATAAAAATATTAATTATATTTTATTTAGTTAATTATATTATTAGCATGTATTTATATATATATATATATATAAACCTTGTGTAATAGTTTATACTATTATAAATTCCGAGTGCACATTAAATATCATTTCAGATATCTATAATTGAACCACTCTGTTGGGATTACTATATAAACCCACTGTCTTAATATATTAACTAATATCTTTGACAAGTTTTCAATTATATCGCTTTATTAATTACATATATATATATATATTATAATATTTTCCAATATAGTGTTATTAATATTATAGTTTTAATTAACAATTTAATAAAGCTATATATTATAATTTTCATTATTATAATATATTTAAGGCAACTAATTTACCTCATAAAGACATTTGACCAAATACTAATACATAACCCATGAAAGCTGTTATGATTAATAATAAGAAGATTATTACTCCTATTGATCAAGGTAATACTCTAGGTGTTTTATATGAACCGTAGTAAATATTTCTACCCATGTGAGCATATATACATATGAAGAAGAATGATGCTGTATTTGCATGAGCATATCTAATAAATCATCCAAAATTAACATCTCTCATGATGTGCTCTACAGAATCGAAAGCAAGACTAGCATGTGATGTATAGTGCATTGCTAATGTTATACCTGTTGCCAATTGTATAACTAAACATAATGCTAATAAAGATCCAAAATTTCAAAAGTAATTTAAATTACTTGGTTGAGGTGAATCTAATACATATGAATTAGCCATATTTAAAAGACTATTTTTTTTTCTTAAAGCCATTTAAAATGACATTATTAAAGATAATTTATACTAACATACTTTTTTTTATTCTTAATTTTCCCTTATCATAGTTTAATTACTTGATAATTTTGATTTATATTATCCTTTTATTACATTATTTTAGGTAATTAAACCCTTACCTATTATATATATATTATTAATATATATATAATAATATATATTTTCTTTTTATAAAATAGTCTCCACATGGATTCGAACCACGATAAATTGCTTAGAAGGCAATTGTTCTACCATTAAACTATAGAGACTTATATATATATTATTTATATCTATAAATACGGAATAGGCCGGAGTCGAACCAGCAGATTTTTCAATACCTCGTAGCAAGAGGCTCGTCCTACCTATGACAACTATTCCTTATATATATAATATATCTCCTAAATATTATTAATAAATAATTTACAGAGGATATAATATATATATATATATAATATTAATAGTTTTTATAATATATATTATTCTATTATAATATATATTTTTATTTGATTACAATTATACTTAATATAATATTAATTGTTAAGTTAGACCAAAGTACTAAATAAAATATAAAGGATAGCAATTAAAACTGGTATTACTAAAATAATATTTAAACTAATAACTAATATTAATAATAATAATGATACTATTGTAATTAATATTAACATTGAATTCATACTTAATGAACTTCTAGTATTAGAAGATAAATTTAAGACATTATAAGAAGCATTATTTAATAATCTATTAATTCCAACTGGTCCTAATTGATATAATGAACCTCTATCGATATGATGAGCAATATTACCAGATGTTACTAAACCTTTAAATATAATAAAGTAGTTTAATATTTGATCTGATACAAGTTTTTGATTAAATATTGAATAAATAGTGTTAATATATTTATTATTTAAATTAAACACTATAGCAAAGAATTCATTTAATATTACTATTAATATAGATATTAATATAGCACTAATTAAAGGTAATAATTTATAGAATTGAGTTATTGAGAATTCTGTATCAAAGTATGAGAAATTATTAGGTAATACATGTGTACCTACAAAGTCTGTACCTACACCAAGGTAAATATCTTTAAGTAATCAACCTGCGAACATAGCAAAGATAGCTAATATAAACATAGGTAATGTAATATATATATTAGACTCGTGTGCATTATAATATGTAATAGTATTATTATTAGGATTTGAATAGAATGTTAAATATAATATTTTCATAGAATATACACAAGTTAATACAGCACTTAGATATGCTATTCAATAAACAACATAGTTAGAAAGACTATATGAACCATAAGTAGACTCTATAATAATATCTTTAGTATAATATCCTGTTAAACCTGGCATAGCCATTAATGATAATGATGCTATTGTAATACATATATATGTATATGGTAAATAACTTAATAAACCACCATAAGTTCTAATATCTTGACTTTCATTTAAAATACTATGTATAATAGAACCAGCACTCATAAATAGTAATGCTTTGAAGAAAGCATGTCCTAATAAGTGGAATAAAGCTAAGTTGTATGCTGATAATCCTATAGCGATAGTCATCATTCCCAATTGACTCATAGTTGATAATGCTATTATTCTTTTCAGATCATTTGAACATATAGCTATAAGACCTGCACTTAATGTAGTTAAAGCACCTATTCATAATATTATTAATAATATTGTAGGTGTGTACTCTAATATATTAGCTGATCTTAATAATAAATATATACCAGCTGTAACTAGTGTAGCTGCATGTAATAATGATGATACTGGTGTTGGCAAATTGTTGATATATATATATATTATATATATATATATATACTCAATATATTACTATATTGTTCGGACTATTTCTTTATATTAACTTTTGGCCCCTTAACCCTAACCCATTTATAAATGGGTAACCTTTTTAAATGGGTAGGGGCAGTTAATATTATTTCACATGTAGTCTCTGAAGCTCCTATATTATTTATTAAAATATAATTATATTTTAATAAGTATAGTTGCCTACGAATTGTCCCATATTATGAATTATTCCGAGCATTTAAATTAAATGAGTGGATCATAATAATTCATCTGTCTTTAAACTGATTGGGGATATTCTCGTATATAGTGAAATTTTAAGAGGGCCCTATTAAAACCCTCCATAGCTAATGTCAATCAGTTATGTAAACCGAATTGAGCACTTTTAGCCATAGCTGCTATAAATAATGCTAACATAATTAAATTTAATATATCTGTATTTACTAGGTAAGCTGTTGCAAATATTGTAGAATAATTTAATGTACCAAAAGCATAAGCTATAATACATAAACCTAATACAAAGAAAGCATCACCAAATCTATTCATTAATACAGCAGATAAAGCAGATTTCATAGCTTGTAATCTAGTAAATCAGAAACTAATTAATAAATAACTAGTTACACCAATAAATTCTCAACCTACAAATAAAACAAAGTAATTTGAACCTGTAACTAAGATTATCATTCAGAAAGTGAACATACTTAATAATGAGAAGAATCTTACTTGATGAGGATCTGTTTCCATATAACCTATAGAATAGATATGTACCATACTACTAATAGTAGTTATAGCTAATAACATTGTAATAGTTAAAGCATCTATTTCAAAATTATAATTAATATCTAAATAATCTATATTTAAATAATTAAATAATTCTAAATTTATTGGGTTATTATTACCTAATAATAGATTAAAATAATAATATGTTATTAAAGTTGTAATTATTATTAATGTACTTGTCATTCTTGTTACAAATACATAACCTAATTGTCTTCCAAAGAACAATGGAATAATCAACTTATACAAGGTAGTATTATAATTAATGATATAGCGTTAAACATTTATATTCCATAACTATTAATAACACCTCTTAATCTATAATAACTAACTAGTAATGATAAACCTATAGCTGATTCTACTCCAGCTAAGATTATAATCACTATTGCAAATAAACTTCCTGAGATATCGTCAAATAATACACTATTTCTTAATAATATTAAATTTATACCTAGTAACATAGTTTCTAAACATATAAATGCTAATATTATATTTCTTCTATTAAAGACGAATCCTAAAAAGCTTAATACTAATATAATAGTTCCTATAAACATTTTTTTCGTGTTATACTTTTAATATACAATCTATTTTTCATATTTGAATCTTTTTAGGTAAAATTACCTTATTTTATATTATATTATAAGGAATCTAACCTTACTTATTTTTATAATCTGCACAGCAGTAATATGCTATATATATATAAATATATATATATTATTGTTATAAATTAATATCTAATTTATATTCTATTGCTCGTCTAATCATGATAAGAATTTATCAATTGATACGGCTTCTAATGCGATAGGCATACTACTATGTAATACACCACATAATTCTGAACATTGTCCATAGAATACTGACTCTCTTTGTAATAAAGCAGATACTTGGTTTAATCTACCTGGAGTAGCATCACATTTAATACCTAAACTAGGTAAAGCAAAATCGTGGATAACATCTCTAGATGTTACGATAAATCTTAAATGTGTATTTGTAGGTACTACTATTCTAGCATCTACATCTAACATTCTTAATTGACCATTCTCTAACATATCTGTTGGAACGATATATGAATCAAATTGTACAATTTCACCTGTTTCACCAATGAAATCACTATACTCATATGTTCAATATCATTGAGAAGCTATAGCTTTAATTGTCATAGCTGGGTCAATAACTTCATCACATAAGTATAATAATATAAATGAAGGGAAGGCAATAAATAATAAGATAACAACTGGGAATATAGTTCACACTATTTCTAAAGTTGTACCGTGTGTTAAGTATTTATAACTAATATGATCATTACTGAAATTTTTAATTATAACAAATAATAAGTATGATACTAATACAATTGTTACTACTATATAGAACATAACAATATCATGTAATTCGATAATACCATCGAAAGTTGGTGTAGCCGAATCTTGGAAGTATAATCCATATGGTACTGGAACATCGTTAAATATTTTAAACATGTTTTTTAAATTTCTTTAATAAAGATTATTCATCTATAAACTTTTAATTATTATTAATATATATTATACTTAAAACTTTATATGAAAAATGTCTTATATAAGTATAATATGTGAATAAATAAAACACATTGTATGCATAGTATCTATTACCCTTCCCCAACTTATAAGTTGGGGAAGGGTGGAATCATTATTCCTTACAATTAATTTTTAATAAATAATATTAATTATTAATTTATCATTAATTTATCATTAATTTATCATTAAATATTTCCTCTTATTATAATGATTTATTTATTTTTAATTAATTATCTTAACAATTAAATTTGTAATATTAATTATTCTCCATAAATTATAGGTGTTATTTTAAATATAATAAAAGAATTGAACTTTTATTATTTAACCATTTATATATTTATATAGTTATAAATACCTATATTATAATATACTTTAATCTTTGTAGATAGGATATATTATTGTTTTTTTTTTAGTTTATAAATAATGTTTTAATATATTAGGTATAAATACTAAATATATATAACCTAAAGATGAAAACATTATTCTTAATTTATTTTTATGTTGAGATATTTGAACTAATAATAGCTCTTTTAGTTGTATAATTAAATATGAACCTTCAACATCTAAAAACCTATTATTCAATTCATATGTTTTTAATAAAACCGTTATCAGGAGAATATCATACATATTTATTTAATTTATTTTAAATCTCTATTAAATTTCTAATATTATCTCTTTAGATCCAAATGAGATTGAACAAGTGTTATGTTTTAGTATCAATACTTTTAGGTATGTATATACTATTATTACTATATCACACATATTTAAGTTTTTCTAATACTTTTATATCATCTACATATGAAAGTCATTCTAAATGAACCCTCACCATCAATAAAACCAATTAAACATTGCTCATAATCACTATCTAAAGTTCTATTATTATTATTACTAATATATATATCGTATTTATTGATTAATTTATATTTATTTAATAAATTAAATTTAATATTTTTGTAATATTACTATATCCTAATTTAACAGATATTAATTGAAGCATATTAAATTTTACTATAAAAGTCTATAAATAAATACGTTATATAATATATTAAAAATAAATATATATATATATATATTTATAAAATTATCAACTAATTAAATACTTATTTATAATATATATATATTATTATATAATTATATGAATATTAAAAGAATTGAACTTTTATATTTACCATTTATATTCATATATAGATATTACTATCTATATTTTTATTTATTTAATCTTTATAGATAGGGTTTAAAATTATACTGCGTATAATAATAAGAAAGCGATCATTAAAGCGAATAATCCTGTAGCTTCTGATAAAGCGAATCCTAAGATTGAGTAAGTGAATAATTGTCCTTTTAAGGCTGGGTTTCTACTTACACCATTGATTAATGCTGCGAAAACGATAGCGATTCCGATTCCGGCTCCTACTAATCCGATTGAAGCTAATCCAGCTCCGATATATTTACCTGCTAATACTAATTGCATATTTAATTATGTTTCAATGTGCTAATATCACTAATTATCCATTAATTATAGGTATACTATAATTAAATATCAGATGACCTAGAATCGAACTAGGATTGCATAGCCCCAAACCACGCGTCATACCATTAGACCATCATCTGTACTCTTTATTATTTTATATATATATATGATAAGCAAGACTTGAACTTGCAATCTCGAAAGACTTAGACCTAAACTAAGCGTGTCTACCAAATTCCACCATTATCACTTATTTTCTAACCTCCCCCCCTTCAATTGCATTATTTTAAAAATAAATTTTAGATATATCAATTAAACAATTATTTAATAATAAAATACAAGTAAAAAATATAAATAAAGTAAAAGATTAAATTTGATATGGTAAACTCCAAAGGTGATTAAAAGAAAGGATAAGAATTACATAAATATAATGTATAATATATAATAATATTATTATACAAGAGCAACAGGACTTGAACCTATAATGATTGGACTGAAATCAATTGTTATACCATTTAACTATGCTCTTTTATATATATATATATTTTAATATATAAATATAAAGTAATCTAATATGATTACAATTAAAGTCATATCAATATTAATATTAATAAATTAAATTAGTATATAATAAGGAGATATGAAATTAAATTAACTAACCCATTTTTATAAATGGGTAAATATTTATAAATGGGTAAGGGAATGGGTAGGGACCGAAAGATAATATAAATTATATTATATTATATAATATATATATAATTATTTACTGTTCAATATAATAAGTTATACATAATTTGTGGACAGATACCGATAATTAGAGTAGCTATAATTAAGATATTCATAATAAATTTCTCTCTAATAGTTACGTCATTTGTTCTATGCATATATATAGATGAAGTACCTCCTGTTAATTTATTTGTTAGTTTTAGTTGGTATATTGCAGCTAATAGAACAGATATACAACTAATACCACCTATAATAGGATTTCTAATGAAACCACCTTGTAATGATAAGAATTCACCAGTAAAATTACCAGTTAAAGGAGTACCAATATTAGCGAAACTTAATATTATAATATAAGTAGCTAATTGAGGCATATAAGTAGTTAAACCTTTATAGTAATTAAGAATTCTTATATGATATCTATCATATAAAATACCTCCAACTATTAAGAATAAAGCGGGACTTACAAAACCGTGTGCAACACCTAATACTATAGAACCATAGATACCTAAAGAAGTATTAGAACATACTCCTAAAATAGCGATACCCATATGTGAGATAGAACTATAAGCAATAATAACTTTAAGATCAATTTGTCTTAAAGTAGCTAAAGAAGTTAATATAATAGTTAATAAACTAATAATATAAATCATAGGTGTATATAATATTTGTGCTTCACATAATAGAGGTAATAATAATCTTAATATTGCATATAAAGCTAATTTTAAGATTAATCCAGCTAAGATCATAGAACCTGCTAAAGGAGATTCTGAGTGAACAACTGGTAATCAAACATGTATAGGGAATAAAGGAGTTTTAACCATAATAGCTATAAATAGACCTAATCAAATAATAGTTTGTAAATCTAAAGATAGAACGAATAAATTATGATTAATAAAGTTAGTAGTATTTAAAACAATACTAATAACTACAATAGATAATAGCATGAATAAAGAACCACTAAGAGTGAACATTAATACATAGAAAGATGCTCTTTCAGAATCTGAAGAACCATATATATGTATTAAAATGAATAATAAAGGTAAAGTAGCTTCAAATAAAATATAGAAACTAATATAATCTAAAGCTCAGAAGTTTAATAAAATAACTAAACCAATAGCTAAAACTAAAGTATAATATAAATTTGAATTAAAATTTATATTATATCAATTACCTAATAAAGTTAATGGTATTAATAATACTGTTAATAATATGAAAGTTAATGATAAACCATCAATACCAAATAATAAACCATTACTAATATCTGAATTACTTAAACCAAAAGGATTTAATGAATTAAATAATTCAAAATTAAATTGGAAACTATTTGAGAAAGTATTAAAATTAATATATAATAACACTATAAATAATAATAATAAGTTTGAAGCGAATAAGTAAAAATGTTTAACATTACCTTGTCATGCAAGTATTCTATTAAACAAGTATGAAGAACCTAGTAATATTGAAGTTAAAAACATTTCTATAATTTATGTTCCTCATCAATAGAATACGATATAAAGGAATAATCAAACTACATCAACAAAGTGATAGTATAATATTGATGTTTCATAACCTACATGGTGGTTATTTGTTAATTGATATGTATATATTCTTCATAATGATACACCTAACATGATAATACCTATAATAATATGTAAACCATGGAAACCTGTACCAAAGTAGAATACTGAACCAAAGATACCATCTGAAATTGTAAATGGTGCATTACTATACTCCATATATTGACAGATCATGAATGTAACAGCTAAAGCAATAGTTAATATTAAACCTAATAATGTATTAAATCTATTACCACCTAATAAAGCATGGTGACTTCATGTTAATGTGGCACCAGAACATAATAATAATATAGTGTTTAATAAAGGTAACTCTGAAGGTCCTATAGCTTCAATACCAACTGGAGGTCATACACCTCCTAACTCAATTGTAGGAGCCATAGCTGAGTGGAAGAATGCTCAGAATATAGCGATGAAGAAGAATAACTCTGAAACAACGAATAAGATAAATCCTATATTTAATCCTTTTCTTACAGCTAAAGTATGATCTCCTAAATATGTGGCTTCAGAAATTATATCTCTAAATCATAAAGCCATAGTCATAATTGCTACTATAGCTGAGAATACTACTCAGTAATTATTGTGCATGAAACCATGCATATTAAATACTAATGTTAACATTATTGACATCACACTGAATGATACTAAAATAGGTCATGGTGATGGTGCTACTAAATGGAATGGGTGAACTTGGAATTTTTTTAAAGTTAAATTCATTTTGTTTTGTTTTGTTTTGTTTTGTTTTATATCTTATCATCCTTCAGGCAAACACCTGAAGATTTTATATTTTTATAACTTATACTTTCCTCTATTAATACATAATAATAAAGATAATCAACTTTAAGGTCCGATATAAGCTATAAAGTAAGATATATTAAATTTTTAATATAATATCAACAACCCCCCCTAAACCCCATAAATATAATTTATGGGGTTTAGGGTTGACAATATATTAAACTATAAATATATTATATATATAATATATATTATTTATATTTTATATTTATTTATACACCTTATTCCTCCCTAAACCAACATAAAAATATAGTATGATGGGGGGTGGGAGGAGGTATATTAAAATATAGATGATTATTTTATTATTTTATTTATTTATATATTTATATATACTATAATTAGTGTAAGTGGATAGCATCTTTAATATATGAACATGTTAATATTGTGAATACTATAGCTTGGATAAATGCGATTGCTGATTCTAAAGCTACGATACCTAATAAGATAGATAAAGGTAAGATACCTAAAGCAAATGTAAATATACTAATAGAGATGAAGTTTAAGATTAATCCAGCTAAGATTACTAATAATAAGTGACCAGCTAAGATATTTGAACCTAATCTTAAACCTAATGATAAAGCTCTAGCGATATATGATAATAATTCGATTATTACTAATACAGGAACTAATGGTAAATTTGTACCTGAAGGTAAGAATAAACCAAAGAATTTAGCTCCATGGTTAGCTAAACCAGTTAAAGTACATCCGATTCAGATAGCTACTGATAAACCTATTGTTCATATTAATTGTGCATTAATAGCATAACTATATGGAACTAGACTTACAACATTAGCTATTAAGATATACATGAATAATGAGAACATGAATGGGAATAATAATCTTCCCTCTAAACCACCTATTTGTTCTGATACCATTTTCTCTACTGTAAAGTATAAACTTTCGAAAGCTAATGATCATCTTGTAGGTAAGATATTTGTGTTGTTATCGTTTAAGATTGAAAATCCTAATATTAATGCTACTACAGCAATTGAGTATATACTAAAACTTGTTAATGTTATAGTATCTAAGTTAATTAAACCTGAGCTTAAACCGAAGTAAACTCTAGTTGTAAATTGTTCTAATGGTGAGTTGATGATAAAATTCATTTTTATTTGTTATAATTTAAAGTCTATATACACTAACACTGAATAAGTCTTTTCTTTTACCTTTCCCTATACTATATATATTATAGAACTATAGAAAGATTAAGATATGAGATAGACATATATTAATTATAAATATAATAAATATTTGTTAGGTATTCTCTATACATTAATAAACATATACAATATATGTTTAAATTTAAATTATAATAAACAATTAATATGTTTATATAATTATATATATTTTTATTAAAATATATAATTAATCTGCGAGTAAACCTCTCAGATTATACCCCTATTAATTATAATCTTACCTCTTAAAAATTGAAACTTTTATAGAGGGGATAATAACTAAGAGTTAGGATATTAAAATAAATTATGTTTTAGTAATAAATATTCTTGTAACATATATCTCTAAATAGTGTGGTAAGATATATATTGAGAATAAGTATACAATTACGCTTAATGAAGCGAAACCATAAAATATTTGATTAGTGAAGTAAAAAGGTACTAATTGAGGCATATTAAAGTGTTTACTATAAAAAAGTCTATAAATAATTATTATCCTGATATTCCCCCCCTACCCCATTTATGAATATAAATGGGGTAGGGGGGGGAATACCGTGATTAATTAATATATACTCTTATATCCTAAAATTTTATTGTCCTCCTTTAGTTAAACACTAAGATTAAAATATTTACCCCCCCTACCCCATTTATGAATATAAATGGGGTAGGGGGGGGAATACCGTGATTAATTAATATATACTCTTATATCCTAAAATTTTATTGTCCTCCTTTAGTTAAACACTAAGATTAAAATATTTAATTTTAAAATTAGGATCAATAAATTTAGAATTAATATATATTAATCATTAATTATTTTCTCTATACATTAAATTACATAATTATTATATTATATAATATTTATATATATATATTTTTATTAATTTGATGTTTATATATATATATGATATTAACCCAATATTAATTTGTTTTATTAATATTGGGTTAATATATTACTGATCTAATAATCAGTTTAATAAATTATTAATAATTCTTTCAATTTCTAAACTAAATCAGAAAAAGTCGAAGCAAAAAATTAATATATAATTTATATTATATAATTCTTTTATTTATTTTTATTAATTTTTTTTATTTAGGAAATTTAGTATAACACAGCTGGAGTATTAAATGCGTGTAATGAAGGTGGTGTTGATACAGTTCACTCTAATGTTGGTCCTGTATAACCTTCTACATTTAAGTTTGTACCCATAAAGCTTGGTTTAAATTGGCTTTCTAATGCTTTGTTTCCTTGGTGTAATCCATTTGTTAATTGGTCATAAACTACATAGATAAATACTATTGAAGCAACGATTGAAATGATTGAACCTAATGATGCTACTTGGTTTCATCCGATGAAAGCATCTGGATAATCATTAATTCTTCTTGGCATTCCTTGTAGCTTCTTCATCTTAGTTTAAATATGAATATAAATAAAAAAATAAGGGTGGCTGCTTCTGTATTTAATACCTAAGCTAGAAATATAAATAATTTTTAAAGAATAAATTTATTCTTTATTACTATTAATATATAAATTTATTTTTATTATTTCATTATAATTTCCTTATATTATTATAATAATTTTATTATTACCATATATATGAAAAGAAATTATAAGGTTTAAGATGTGAATGGACTATATCTTCAACCTAATCTATAAGATAGGTGCAACACGTGTAGTCTCTGAAGTTCCTTTATTTATTAAAAAGTTACTTGCTGATTAGTAATAAATTAATATATAATATTTATTTATTAAACAATATTGTTACTTAAATAGTAATTGTTATTTTAAACTTTCCAGCATATAGTGTTGTTATAATATTATATTACTATAATATAAGGCCTACATTTGACCTAAGAAGTGCATTGGGAAGAATGTAATGTTAACTCCAATAAACATTAATCAGAAGTGGATATGACTTAATCTTTCGTTATAGTGTAATCCTAAGATTTTAGGTGATCATAAGTATCAACCACAGAAGATTGAGAATACAGCTCCCATTGATAATACATAGTGGAAATGAGCTACAACATAGTATGAATCGTGGAATGGGATATCTAATGCAGAGTTAGCTAATACAACTCCTGTTAATCCACCAATTGTGAATAAGAAGATGAAACCTAAAGCAAATAAAGCTGTTACGTTTAATCTGATTGTACCTCCGTAAAGAGTTGCTAATCAAGAGAAGATTTTAATAGATGTTGGTACAGCAATAACCATTGTAGCTGATGTGAAGTAAGCTCTAGTATCTGAATCTAAACCTACTGCAAACATGTGGTGACTTCAAACACAGAATCCTAATAATCCAATAGATCCCATAGCGTAGATCATTCCTTGTACACCAAATACTGGTTTAGATGCGATTGCAGAAACTGCGTGACTAATTATACCGAATCCAGGTATAATTAAAATATATCATTATTTTGATTATATATATATTATTATATATATAATACTCAATATGTTACCATATTGTTAGGACTATATCTTATATAGAATAATAAATGAATTAATTATATTTATTATTAATTTTATTTAATCTAGTTGCATAATTTTCTATTTTTGATATCTCTATTTTATGATCATAATAATCTATTTTTGGTATATTTTTATTAATATATCAAATTATATTTTGAACTCTTATATATATTTTTCTTCAATATATATAAGTTAAATATTTATCTGATATTAAATGATATTTTCTTAAATACATTATATATTCATAAACTATATTAATATTATTAATATTATATACAGCATTATTATTGTCATCTTTATATATATAACCTTCAAAATTTGAGTTTATTAATGATAATATTTTATTATTTATATTATTTATATCATTTAAAGGTGCTTTAATATATAAATTAAATTCTATATTTATAAACTTATTATCAATTCAGTTATAATTAACATTAAATTTTGAATTAACATCTAAATAACCACATAACCAATAATTATTTAGAATATTATTGTTATTATTACATTTAAAATTTATATCTAAATTATTTAATTTAATATATTCTATTATTTGTGTATATAGTATATTATTATATAATTTATTATTAATTAATTTTAATATTTTAGGTATTCCATTTGGTTTAATAATTAATTTAGGATTCTCACCTTTAATTACTGAACCATAACCTATATATTTCTTTATTAAATAAACATAACTATAATCTTTATTAAATTGTATAACTATTTTATTATTAATTAATTCACCATTTGAATCTAATAAACCTGCTAAATAATAACCTAAATCTTTATCATTATTAATTCTATTATGTTTAGGAACATGAACAGAAATATCTTTAATAGATTTTATATTATTTTTATATAATAATAATTCTTCCGAAGAAACCCCTCCAAAAGATATTGGTTAGGGGCTATTAATTGTTCTATATTATTGCGTGTAGTCTCTGAGGTTCCTTTATTTATAAAGTTACCTGCTGATAATCCTTTTCTGAATAAAAATAATTATTTAAATAATTATTAAATTCAGATAATATTAAAACTATTACATTATTACAATATATATTTATATATTTAATACTGTCTTTAATATTATATATCAATGATATAAAGGACTTCCCAGCATATAGCAATATTATGAGGCATATATTATTTACCTCAGGGTGACCGAAGAATCAGAACAGGTGTTGGTATAATACAGCATCACCTCCTCCTGCATACTCGAAGAATGAAGTATTAAAGTTTCTATCGAAGATTCCCATTGTTAATCCAGCAGCTAATACAGGTAAACTTAATAATAATAAGATAGCTGTGAATAATACTGCTCAAGCGAATAATGGTACATTCTCATATTTCATACCAATTGTTCTCATGTTAATGAAAGTTGTTATGAAATTGATTGCACCTAATAATGATGAGAATCCTGATAAGTGTAAACTGAAGATAGCTAAATCTACAGCTGGTCCACTATGTGATTGGATACCTGCTAATGGGAAATATACAGTTCATCCTGTACCTGCACCTGCTTCAACTAAAGCTGAAGTTAATATTAAGATTAATGATGGAACAAGTAATCAGAAAGAAATGTTATTTAATCTAGCAAAGGCCATATCACTAGCACCTAACATTAATGGCATTAAGTAGTTACCGAATCCTCCTACTAAGGCTGGCATTACGAAGAAGAATATCATTAGTATTGCGTGAGCTGTGATCACTACATTAAATGCTTGAGTATTCCCATGTAAGAACGGTGAACCAGTGTTTGCTAATTCTAATCTAATGATAGCTGATAAACCTGTACCAATCATTGCTGAAAATAAAGCAAAAATAAAGTACAGCACGGCAATATCTTTAGCATTAGTTGAAAATAATCATCTTTGAATATTTAATTTTAAACTCATAATGAAAAATTTTCATCCGTGACCTATTAATGAGTAAATTTTTAAATTTTCTATGTCTTACCTCTATAATAAAATTATTTTTATTAAAAAGGATATATATAATTGATTAATAATTATATTATTTTTCCATTATAAAGACTTCTCTTATATAAGAGTGATAAATCTTATACTATATAAACTCATATATAATCTTAATTATATATATATTTATACTCCTTAGGTATTCCTAAGGAAATATTTATATAATTATACAACCAAATACGTATTTGGAGATAGGTTATTTATGTTAAATCTACTTTATCTTCGAACATTCAAGTGATTTTAAGTTATATATAGTCTTATTTTATTTATCTAGAAATAAAACTTTAAAGGTTTTAAATAAAATATAAATATATATATATATATTTATATTTTAGTAAATTAATAGTTTTAAATTAATAAAACTAACTAAAATTTTTTTTCTACTTCCATCGTTTATGGGTAGAATCGAACTACCAGAGTTCGCGTATGAAGCGAAAGTTTTACCATTAAACTACATAAACAAACATTTATAAATTTAACCATTCACCTGTTTTCTCCTGCCCTAACCCATTTATAAATGGGTTAGGGCAGGAAGGTTTATAATATAATACTTTTTATTTTACGAATTAAATCTGAGTCGAACAGACATTTCTACACGTGACAAGTGTATGCTTTACCATTAAGCTATTAATCCTTATATATATATATAAATATATATTATTATTAAACTAATGTTATTTTAGTATTTAAACCAATTTTACCTAATAATGTTTTATTATATGTTGTTGATTTTGAATATACACTGATATAACCTGGATATTTATTAAAAGTAATATTATTATAGTTATTGTTATATGAACTTAATGTATTATATAAAGGACCTTTACTCATTGAATAAGGTGTTACTTTTCTTTTTTTTTGTTTAGTTACATATTGACCTGAGAAATTTAAACTAAAACCTACTATTCTTTTATATAATAAATAATCTGATAATATACTATTTTTATTTTTATTAATAGTATTTAAAGGTAAATCATTATTAGTTTTATTAATATTACTATCTATTCTTTTAAGATTAGAGATAGTTATATTTGTAATAGTTTTATGATTAATAACTTTCATTTTTTTAAATAATCTTCTATAATATTTTCATACTATATTTGAATTTTTAGTTTGTTTAAACATTAAAAAATTATTAAATATTTTATTATCCATTTGAGGATATTTTAATATTATAGGTTTTATAACTATATTATAATCTGTATGTATACTATTTAAATAATCCTCTAAATTAGAATAATTTGTATTTAAATTATTTGATGTAGATTTTATATAATATAATGATTTTTGATTATGTTTAATTAATAAATCTAATGAAATATCTGATTTTCTATTTCTCTTTTTAAAAAATTTTCTTTTTAATTTTAAATTAGTTAAATAACTATATAATAATTTATTTTTTGCTGATTTCTCATATATAAACATAATTATTTCTATATTATTATTTAATCCTATATTATATTTAGTATTATATAAAGTATTTCTTTTAAATTGATTAATAGTTTTTTCTTTTAAAACGATATTATTATTATTATTTAATTTAAATTTATTTTCATCTTTTATATTATTATATAAAAATTTTACCATATATGTATCTATAATTTTATCTATATTATTTATTACATCTATTTGTTTTAAATGATTTTTAGTTAAATAATTAAAACTATTAATTTTATAATTATTATTTTGTTTATTTATATATGACATTTTTATTTTTTTATTTTTAATTGTTCCAAATATTTTTTTTTTATGTATATTTGTATTTGTTATTATTTTTTTTGGATGTAAATTGAGACTCGAACTCAAAAATTAGACACCACAAGTCTATGTTTTACCATTAAACTATGAACATCTTATATATATTTAAAAAGATTCTTTTTAAATTTTTATTTACCACTGCAGATTCCTCTACAGTAACTGTATTTCAACTTCTTACTTATTAAATTTAATGCGTATTTAATATTGTTATATATTTTAGTAAATATATAGCAATTATTATTAAATAATATAATAATATAAAAACAAATTTAATTTGATTTACTTTAAAAAAACTTAACATTTTATTCTTTAAGCAAGTGATGAGTGATTAGTACGAATGAAAGATGATATTCATTATCGTATACTTAACGATAATTACTAGTAATTCCTTTTTCAAAAAGCTGAATTTCAAACTTTTATCCATGGAGCAAATGAAATAATCATTTTATTATATAATTTATGTATTTTATTAAAGTTTTTATTATTTCTTTAATTTTTTATTTCATTATATTTTGTAACACATCTGTAGCCCTATCTATTTGGGTCATCTTGATTTGTCTTAGTCCTCTTTATGCTAACCATTTTGATTAAATATAAATAATATTTATTAATATTATTGAGGTTTTTATTCGTTGCTTGGACTTAACCTAACATTTCACAACACGAATTGAAGACAATGATGTAACACCTGTTTAGAATACAAAGATAGGTAAGTTTATCGGGGATTATCGAATTAAACAACATGTTCCACTACTTGAGTTCCAAACCGTCTTATATTTTTAGTTTCATTCCTGGGAATGTACTACTATGGCGACATATTCTCATTTAACTATTTTTATTCTTAATATGTTTCGTTTACGGTTAAAAATACACCGGTCTCTAATCGATTTCTATATTTTAACTTTCGTTTCTTAATGTCAATTCATATTTGTCATTATTTTTCAAATTTTGGGTCAACTTTAATTATACGCAAATTTTATCCTTACTTTTAAAATTGAAATGACATCTTATGAATTCTAGTATGTATGGATACATCAATCTACAAACCCTTTAAGCCAAGTATGATATAAGTATTAGCATGATCAGTATTACCGCTACTGCTGGCACTGACATTGGTACATACTATAACAATTAATATATCTTTCTTACATTAAAATTCGAATTTTTTGTTCGGTTTAAAACTATTCAGATAGTAACATTACATTACTTATGCTTTATGCATATTTAAACTTCAGTTTTAATAATTCTACTAGGTAACTCGTTCAATCTTTCAATCATTGACAAATGTTACTTACTGCTGATTTCATTGAAATTAGGATATGGTTCAGATCCTACACGGTCTTAATTAGACTAAATATCTTAAGCTTGTGTCATCTATTTATTATAACCAACTACCTAATATTAAGATAAGCCTCACATAATACATATGTTTATACATACTTTATAGATTATATACAATTATATAATCCTTATTACAAATTTATTGCTATATTATGTTGTAGTTTCTTATCTATTACTCGTGTGTTCACTACTCTAAATTATACTACTATCTTGAATCTCAAAATCTATAATTTGTTAGTTTGCATAATATATGTTTCTAGATAATACTTAGATGAGCCAATATAAAACTCTGTTTATTTTATTTTTATGATTTATTTTTCATTACAATCAACCTACCAAAGGTGCTGTCAATATTTTATATAAAATTTGACTATAAACTTTTATTAGTTATGTTTCTTATTATTTAGAAATATAGGATTCGAACCTACACTCTTCTATGTGTAAGATAGTTGCTTTACCAGTTAAGCTAATTTCTATAAAGTTAGCTACAAATAACTAGACTCGAACTAGCACTAAATGATTGGAAATCACTGGGTCTGCCAATTAACCTATATTTGCTATAAGTCTCGAATATCTAAGTTAATACCTCAGATTACTTTTGATTACAATTATATAAAGGATATATTAGAGTTGAACTAATAAAATAAGATTTGCAATCCCATTGGTATACCGATACAATATCCCTTGTTCGCAAAATTAATTTGCGAACATTATATATTGATCCTAAGATCAAATATATATTAATATACATATTTATATTTCTCTATTCTGCCCTAACCCATTTATTAACCCATTTATAAAAATGGGTTAGGGTAAGCGGGCCGATAATATTATTTCATATTATATTAATGTTGGGAAACTATCAAATATATATAATGTTGATGGTATTATTAAGAAAATACCAAATAATAAAGGTAATAATATAATTCAACAGAAGTTAATTAAGTTATCATAAGTAAATCTAGGGAAAGCTGCTCTAACTCAAATGAATGAGAACATTAAGAATACTAATTTGATAGCATAAGCTGATGAATTAATTAAACCTTCAAATAAGAAAGAAACATAACTATAATCATTAAATAACACATTAAATAAGTAACTATAATTAAATGATAAATAACCACCTAATAACAAGTAACCATTAAAAGCACTTATTAATATTATATTTGAATATTCTGCTAAGAAGAAGAATACAAATGGACTACCTGAATACTCTGTAAAGTAACCTGCAACTAATTCTGACTCTGATTCAGTTAAATCAAAAGGAGGTCTTGCTGTTTCAGCTACTGAAGCTATAAAGAATATTTAATAATAGTGGTATAATGGTATACAATATCAAACTACTCTTTGTGTTTCAATTATTGTTGTAATGTTTAATGAACTAACGAACATTATAATTATAATGAAAATTGATGTTAATATTAACTCATATGATATTAATTGAGCTGTTGATCTTATTGATCCTAATAATGAATATTTACTATTAGATGATCATCCACTTAATAATGAACCAAATACACCTAATGAACCTATAGCTAAACTAAATAGAATACCTAAATTTAGTTCACCTAAAGTAATACCTGGACCTAATGGTATAACAACTCAACCTATTAAAGCTGTAATTAAAGTAATTAAAGGACTAATTACTAAAATTATATAATTTGATTCTTTTGGTAATACTATCTCTTTTAATAGTAATTTTACCGCGTCTGCGAATGCTTGAAGAAGTCCGTAGTAACCCACAAAAGTTAGGACCTAATCTTCTTTGCATATATGCTAATGTTTTTCTTTCGGCTACAGTTAAGTAAGCAACACTAAATAATACACAAACTAAAAATATTAAAATTTCTACGATATTTATTATCATTTTTTTTATGTTTTGTCTAGTATCCGTAATTTTATTAGAGATATGACTTTATTTTTATTATTCTCCATTAAAGAGAATATATTATCTCAGATTTACCGAGAATATTTATTCTTTATGTTTCATTGTTATTGATATAGGACCTATAATTCCTAATAATAATACTATAGCTAATACTAATAAGATAAATGCATTATTTGTTAATAATACATTACCTATAGTTGTTAATAAAGTAGTATTTTCTATATTGAATCAATCTTGTGTGATTATAGTATTATAATCATTACCAAAAGCTTCTAATATTTTATTTATTAATACACTATCATTTGAATATATCATTAATCCACTAATAGTTAAAACTATTAATGATATTAATACTAATGGTAAATCTCTTATATTAGATTTAACTGATAATTCAGTAGAATTTATATCTAATAAAGTAATAATAAATAAGAATAATACTGCTATAGCTCCTATATAAATCATTATATATAATAAACTAAATATACCTAAACCAATTAAGTATAAATACATAGCTGCTATAACAAATAAAGCAATCATGTATAAAATACTAACCATAGGATTTTTAGCTGATATAATAAATATAGTACATAATATAGCTAAAAAAATAGTTATTTCGATAAAATAATATGTTAAATACATCATTTTGTTTTGTTTTTAATTTCCTCAGTTAAGGATAAATTTTATAGTTTAATATATTTTAAATACGTTATCAGAAGGAATCGAACCTACATCAGATCATTAACAGTGATCGGCTTTACCTTTAAGCTATAATAACTTTAATAAAAAGAGTTACTATATTATACAAATATAAATACTCTATATATTTAATATAAAGAATTGAACATTTTCTTTTAGTAGGAGGGTTCTATAGATCCCTCCTTATGTAATAGTTCAATTCTAACTTTTAATTTATATATCATATAGATTAAATTTTTATTTATAATTTAAAGTGATCAATGAAAAGAGTAGGAATTGAACCTACGAAGAAATTAATCATTGAGACTACAGCTCAACTCCAAATACCAACATTGGAGATCTTTCCTATAATATTATATAATTATATCTTTAAGCAAGGTCTTTTGAAAGTATCACCCTAATTATTAACACTTAATTAAGTGTTAATAATTAATATATAATATATTTACTATACTTAAATTATAATTTTCTGTATTGAATAAATATTGATTATAAATATGACTTTATTTATATTATATATATATTATTAATGTCCACACCAGGAATTGAACCTAGACATACAATGCTTCAAATTGTCACTCTAACCATTTAAGTTATGCGAACTTATTTTGGAATCTATGAGAATCGAACTCATATTTATAGTATGCAAAACTATTATTTTACCAGTTAAATTAAAATCCCCTTAAGCCAACATAATATTATATGTATATATATATTATATTATCGGCCCACTTACCCTAACCCATTTTTATAAATGGGTTAATATTCATAAATGGGTAAATAAATGGTAACCCATTTATAAATGGGTTAGGGCAGATGCTCTTTTAATAATTATCCGGATACTGAGAGATTCGAACTCTCGATATAAAAAAATTATATATGATACTCAAATATCATGCTTTCAACCGCTCAGCCAAATATCCTTTTTTTTATTAAACCTTGTAGGAGTCGAACCTGACGTATCATAATTATCAATTATGTATTTTACCGTTAAATTAAAGGTTTTTACTATTATAAATAAAATTTACAATATTGTATAAATATCTTCCCATTTTTATATATCAATTTAAGAGGGAAAGATATCTAAAGTATAAATAATACTTACCTATTATTTATTAATAAACTAAATATAAGGGGTCCAATAGGAATCGAACCTTCCGCAAGCGGATAGTTCGATTCTAATTGATCCTTTCATATAATATAGTAATTAATTTATATATATATGAAAGAAGGGGTCCAATAGGAATCGAACCTATATTTATTGATTAAAAGACAAAAGTTTTACCGTTAAACTATAAACCCTTAATTAATATATTTAATATGAATTGGAAAGATTCGAACTTTCATAGTCTTAACTCAAATTTAAGTGATTTGCCAATTAATCTACAACTCAGTAGACCTAAGAAATTAAATACCTTACCCTTCTCAATTATAGGTAGATTATAGATATTTATATTATAATTTAGGGTCATTATGTATATATCAAAAATAGGACTCGAACCTATATGCAAAAAAGCAATCCAACTTAAGCGGATCATGTCTACCAATTCCATCATTTTGACTTATATATATATTTTTTTTATAGAACCAGATTGACTCGAACAATCATTGAACCGTTATGAGCGGTTAGTTTTAACCTTTAAACTATAGTTCCAAATTTTATTATAAATTTATTATAAATTATATAGCAACAAATGGATTCGAACCAAATATTATCAGATTATGAGCCTGATGTGATACCATTACACTATGTTACTTTAATAATATTTATAATATTATATTAAACAACCTTAACGGGACTTGAACCCGTATTTTTAGAGTGAAGTTCTAACGTCTTACCTTTGACGATAAGGTCTTAAAATACAACTCCCAAAGTTGATTTTAAAAATAGTGGAAGAATAATTTAATAAATTTTAATGTTAAATTTTGGATTTGAACCAAAAGCTACTGATTACAAAACAATTGTTTTACCCTTAAACTAATTTAACATTTATCTCCTACCCCTATTTATTTATATAAACTATATAATATAATAATAATTATATTTTTTTTAGTATAAGGGGAAGGGATAGAAATATATAATTTTATATTATTATTATTATTATTACTATTATTATTTTAATTAAAAATTTAATTATTTTATTCTAGGGATACTAAGATATGTATTTATTAAGGTGTATATTAAATCTGACTATATTCTAGTCGATAGTATATATATGTATATATATATACGATATTGTAATCTACAATATATATTTTATGCCTAACTAATTATACTTCAAATTTTATATTCTTTCAATTTTTATTATTTAATTATGTAGCTTAATCACGTTATATTTTATCGGCCGGGGAAACCCGGGCCGATAAAATATACTTAATAATTAACCAGTGATAATTGTTTACCAATCCTGTCGTACTAAGTAAACCAATTAAATAGAAACATTTACCATGTAAAAGATAGAAACCGTGCTATCTCACAATGCACTGAACCCAGCTCATGTACGTTTTTAATATACGAACAGTTTAACCTTTAGAAGCTGCTTCACTTCTAGGATAACGTAAGCCGACATCGAGGTGTTAAGCTTGGATTACGATTAGAACTATTATCCAAATTAACCAGTTATCTAAGGCGTAACTTTTATCCTTTAATCGAACACTCTATAAATTCAATATAATGTTCTGTTCACTATACCAGATTTTCATCCTTTAAATTTTTGTTGAAACTTAAATCATATATGATTATCCTATTATTGATTTTATTCATCTTTATTTAATGAATTTAGTTTTCTTTACTAATTTGATCATATATTAATTATAACTAATTTTAATTAAAATTATTATCATTATGGAATTTTCAGATAGTTTTTATGAAAATACCGCCCCAGTAAAACTAACCACATATCACGTTCTTCTACCTAATTTAAATATTTAAATTAACTACTCTTTTTAGAGTTGGTAAAATAAGTCTTTATTAATAATTAAAGTAATTCTTCCAAATTATAATTATATACATAATTTAATTACTTGCTATTTATAATTATTAATACAATAATGAGTATATATTTATATTAAAATATAAATATATATATTATAATTTATTATTTAAATAAATAAATAATAAATACATTATTAATTTATTTAATAGTATTAAATAAATTAATAATATTATATAATCTTAAAGATTATATAATCTTCTATATCCCGAATATGTATAATAAAAACTTCTCATTATTAACAATAATATGTTATAGTAAAGCTGCCTAAGTCTTTTCGTCTAATTACATGTTTCATGTCGAATATTCACGACATATTTAATTTCACCGAGTTGAATATAGAGACAGTTGTTGTATCATTACGTCATTCATGCAGGACTACAATTATTAGCCTAGGAATTTCGCTACCTTAGAACCCTCACGTTAAGGCTGCTATTTGCAAAGTATTGAAAATCAATCACAAAATTAATCAATTCATTTATTTCTAAGCATTGAGCAGAGTTCACACATTATACTAATAATTTAATATCTGCAATGTGCTGTGTTTTAGTTAAACAGTTGTACAACTTCATTTTTATATGAAAAATCTATCATTTTTTTTGCCGAGTTCCTTAATATTCATTACACTCGTTCATCTTAATATTCTCTATATAAGCACCTGTGTCGGTATAATTACGGTATTTATAAATTATATTTCTTGAGTTTAATATAATATATATTATATATTATTATAACTGTACAATTTAAATTTTCATCGCCTAATTTTTGTCAAAATTATTTGCTTAGAATCCGTATTTTCTATTAAAACCTCGCTTTTAAGATGAATTGGTTTTTGTTATATAAACTTTACCAATTTACGTTACTCATGTTAGCAGTTTTAACATAATTCAATAACCTATAAACATTAATATTTTATTTCTATAGGTTTAACTCTCATTATGTAGTCGACTATCTTATTCACTATCCATTAAAAATGGATGTAAATATTAAATGAATCAGTATAATATTTATAACACACTAAGGTGTTAGTGAAGCACTAATAATTTATCACAAACTGTATTTATTATTTAATTCGTTGTTACACGTTAATTAAAACATAGTTACTATCAAACCCAGTAATTAAAACGTATTAATACAAATTTATGTTGATAACACTTAATATTATTTTGGTACTTTATCATTTATTCGGGTTATTGCCCTATTGACTAATTACCTTAAAGTAAATAGTCCGAATCCATTTATGAATTACATATCATATTTCGAGGTTATTTATTGTTGATAAATCGTTTAGGACCCCCAATATTATTATCATTTTATTAAAAATGATTATATCAATAAAAATTGCTGTAATATTATAGTAATATTTTGTTTTATATTTAAAACTTTAAATGGTCTATACTAATATATATTTCGTCGACAACCAGCTATATCTAAATCAGATTTGTCTTTCACTTCCCTTTCTCAACTCATCGGAATTTATTGCTACAAATTACCGTTCAGTCAATTCAATTTAATGAATTACTTGGTCAAGAAAAAATCATCTAGTTTCGGGTATATTAAATATAACTTTTTTATTTTTAATTATATATATCTTCTATTTTTGATTTGCTATATCTAATAACTAACCAACCCATTATGCAATAGGTACATAATATTCTTATTTGAATATTATTAGCTATATTGATCCATTATCCATATTTCCTTCACAGTACTTATGTTATTTACATTAAGTTTTTAGTCTTAACTGTTTATGCAGTTATATTCATACACTTTCTATGTATTACTCATTGAACTCCTTATATTTCGTTCACCACTACTCTATAAATCATTGTTATTTTCTTTTTATAGCTACTAAGATGTTTCAATTCACTATCTTTCTTATTTAGGTTTCCCTTTAGGTTTTAATACTATCACTATTCTATTGAATAAATAGTATAATAATAACCTTCCTTAATGTAATTTGTAGGTCATGAATCAACTCTACCACCTTAAAAAATGATTTCATATCATTTAATTTATTTTTT